ATGTGAACTTTAATTCTTTCAGGAAAGAATTTTCTCTTTCATCATACATGTGTATTTATCCTAGCCCACAGCCAATTCCATGCCATTACTACGCACATAAAAATTAAAAAACACAAATGAACACCCATAATCCACTTCGTTACAAGTTTCAAGGGAATTCAGATAAGAAGCAATCTTAATAGCAAAAATTTTGTATGGCATTTAGTTCGCTGCAAAACTGTCATTTTTAATGAATGATCAGTCTTCAGCGGCTATATCGAAACATCTTTTGCAACCTCAGGCAAATCTCTTGATGTTCACAAAGTTATATATTGCGGAGCGTGCCTTGAAAGCAAAGTATTTCCTCCGGTTTGTGACGTCAACCATCATTTTGATATTGACGTACTTATATTGCTGTAAAGCTGGTGACAACAGAACCCTTCTACACATCCTTCGTTAGTATTTCCAAGCTCGTCTTCCTCCTCACTCCCCCCGCTTTTCTTTTGCTCTCGTTCTCCCAGCAACTACTTTAAGACTCGACAAGTTTTAGAACAGTGAAGTGTAAATTTCAGCGGGTTGCTTCTAGCATCTAAAAGGATCTTCTCTCTGTACCACTGACAATTCCTCCATCTTCCGCCTCCTTCCACATCCTTCTGAGCGTCTTCTCTCTTCCTTGAGCTAACGACGTAGCCGGTTGGCTTTACATCCTCAACACGAAGAGGAAACCCGGGAATTAGATTTGGTTTCCGGGTTGCAACGTGTTCCTTCAAAATACCAAGGCAGCACACAGAACACCGATGTACAGCTTGGGGTTTGGTAAAGAGCAGACAAGATGGAGGAAACGATACAAGGGAGAGATAAAGGAGAAAGTGCTTAAATAGACAGATTGGCAGGTAGTGGAGTGCGAGCCGGTATAAGTACATATAAGGAGCTCAACGCGAAGGGGAAAATGATGTACGATCCTAGTAAAGGATAATTCAAGCGCAAATCATGTTGATTTCTCCGTGTTGAGATTTCTCACACTCCTTGATTGATTGATCCTTGATTTATTTAGCGATGCTTTATAGATTACCTAATTTAAGTAGCTGGGCGCTTTCCAAAAGACAGAAACACTTTATCATGACCTATTTGAAGGATTTTCTTGAGTGACTTACTGAGGAAACCCACTAATATCCTGGCTCAGTATACAAGTCCTGCGGACCAAGGTTTGAACTGGGTCTCTTGAATACGAAGCAGGAGTGTCAGCCACTCAACCGAGACGTTCGGTCGCTTGCTGATAAATTTATGCGGTTCCCAATGACTAACGCCGTATTCCTATGTCCAAATGCCATTCACTCTTATTGCCCTTATACGTTACTGCTTAACCACTCCACGTCAATCGCTTTCTGCTATACCTTTACCTGTTTTACTCGTGGTAACGGTAAAGTTGTCCCTTCGTTTAATTAATTAAGCACTTTACCATGAAGACGTGTGAGTGGGTGAGTGAAGGTATAGCTCCACCATTCTTGACCTCGGTACTTCTTGGAGGTGAGTGGTCAGCTTCACTCCCGTAGGTACCTGAATTATTATATATATATATTTTTTGTAATCTTTCATTTATCATTGAATGGTCGTCACCATACCAAGGCGTAGGTGGGCGGACAATATTAAAATGAATCTTAGATAGGATGGGATGGTATGGATGGATTCATCTGGCGTAGGACAGGGAGCAGTGGAGGGCTCTTGTGAACATAGTAATAAACATTCGGGTTCCAAAAAATGCTGAAATGTTCTTGAGTAGCTGCACAATTGGCAGCTTCTCAAATAGGGTTCAGCTCCATGAGTTAGTGAGTGAGTATCTACAGTCAAGATCTTCTCAAAATCTTCGTTTCAGTAGACAATAGCCAGTTTCCCCTCTCGTTGGGCTCTGCCATGCCTTGTGTCCATACAGTAATATGCTCGTAGTCAATGTTTCATACATACAGACTTCTCTAGTTTTTCTTACGTGTTTGTTCCTTCATACAGGAAGGTCTCATTGTCTTACGGACCCGAGTAATTCTATGCTTTATTTCAATATTCTGGTTACTACTTTTCTCTTTTTTTGCGGTCTTCAGCTGTGTTGTATTATTCGGAAATGTTGTCTATAATCATTTCAAATATACCTTTTTAGTCTACTTTTCTTATTTTTGAAAACTTAAAATATATTTATGCCATCTCCATGCTGTCTCTGTGTCTATGAATCCCCCCTGTCAACTTTTGAATGCCCGAATCAGTCTTTATGAAACTTGGTATGTAGATTATGGCACCTGAGCCCGCCTCAGCGGCGTGCTTCATAAATACCTCCGATCAGTCTGTGTTTCTGTATGTGTATCCCTCCTATCGTTGCTAGGCAAAGCCTCAGTAAACTGTATCTCTCCTTTAATTGCTAGGCAGTGGCTTGGTAAAAACGTTCCCGCAGCAAAGAATACATGCAACAATATAAAAATTATTGGACGCGTAATGCTGTGGGTCTGTGCCCCCCCCCCTAAAGTTGCTACGTATCAGCTGGGTAAGGATGTTACCGCGGCAATGAAGAACTGTTGGAGGCGTCATTATCTGTGGGGTCAGTGTCATATAAAAGGAAAGTAGGTTATTACATGTAGATATTCTCAAAACTTTTGTATATTATTTCATATTTCATAGTTCATCTCAATTTCCCCTGTTTCTTATTAATGTATGTCTCTCCCCGTGCATCTTTATCTGCTTGAAATATACATTTTGTTATATTAGCATTCATTTCTTCTATGTTCTTAGTTCTTCTTTCCACTTTGTTTTAAAGACTTCGTTGATGGAGATGTGTTATGTTTTCATCGCTTGAACTACTGACATTTTGTTTTATATCTTTTGTTTTCATTAACTTATCAGAGGACTGCAGTTTTTGTTTTTATTTATATTTTAAAGGAAAATATATTTCCTTTCCTCATTAGATAGTGATCATTACCGCAAATTGCCCCCTTTATTCTCCGGCATTCTGAATTTCAATTTTTTTCTTGGATTTTTTTTATTCATTTTGTAATCTATAATCGAATTCAGATTTCGAAATTTTTGTCACCATGTATAGTTATACACATTCTTATGTTTGTAGAATACAGTCCAGATCTTTTGGTTATTCCGTCTGAATAAATCAAATTAATCCTTCCCTTTTATCAGTTATTAGTTCCTCAGCGAAGGTTCTCGCAACCAAGTCGTCATTCCCTCTCCGTAATGAGCCATTTAAATCTTTCATTGTTGTTATCTCTCTTATGCTACCTACTTTTACATAATACTTTTTTAATTTTTTATAAGAATGCTTCGTTTATCGAACTGTTTTCATCTTCACTGGGAGCATACACGTATATGTCTAAAATTGTCACTTAATGTCTATATATCACCCACCATAACTCTTTTCAGCAACCTCTCATCTGTTAATTCCCAATGTTTCATGTGTTGTCTTTTTACAGTTACATTTCAGCTCTTCCTTCACTTTTCTGATTTCCAACAGCACTAAAGATATGTAAAAAAAGCAGTTTCTAAGTTTTCCATAACTAAACTCTTTTGTTATTATTGTTTTATTCCCATTAGTACCACTACATTCGTTGCATTTCATTAATTCATTCCCAAATTTTATTTTTAGTTCCCTGACTCCATGTACCATACTTCAACAGCCTTTTCCATTCAGTTTCGTTTGTGGATTGCTTAGTTCTTACTAATTTTAATGACTAACTGGGTAGCTGGTTTAACGCCTCAACCTCCTATTTCTTGGATACCACGTCAATGCCTGTTATATAGGCTTCTGTCCTTGCTTATTCCATTATCTTCCTTATTGTACTAATTTTGACGGTTCCCAGTATTTGTTGTGCAAGTACGGTAACAGCTATGTTTCAGTGCATAAGTCAAAATTGAACTGATACAACTCTTATATATTAAATTTGTCTTCCGATCAGTAGGCGAGCCTGACGAATAACCAGCGTCAAGTCATAAAAGACATTATTACAATGCAGCAGGTTCTGGAATTTATTCATCTAAGTATCACTATATGGGAAAATAGTTACGATCGCTTTAGAGCACTGTACAAATATATTCGTTAAAAAATAAAGGGGCTCGAGGACGAAGCAGACGGCGTTTAATTCCAGCCCTGTGTTCATTCTTGTTTTTGGTTAACTGCATAAATATTTATGTTTTCATATAGTCCTTTGTAAGCATCCGGATGTTATTGTTGCTTCATCTGCCTATTTGACTTCTATACCTCGGTCTTTGAGCAGTATGCTAGCCCGACTTCGGCTGACCGATGGAGGGACGCTTTTTAACAGACTCACCTCCATATTTATGACTTCTGGATACAGAGTGCTCCAGTGTTTAAAAGCCCCTAGGAATCGGGATTCCTACTGGTCCATCGGTATTTACGTAGTATATTTGGTGGGCTACTCCATCCGACGACCAAGGAACGGGCCTTCGGGGGTTCGCAGGACATCTCGCGACATCTGTTACGAATAATTTTAATGATATACTTGTTCAACTCTGCACCCGGTGGAT